ATCATCTTCATCCTCGTCTATACAACTTTGATATAGTTGTGAAGCTATGACCAAAGTTGTTAGAAATTTGAATCTTAAAAAGCATTAATTAGAAAAAGGACTACAAATCCTTGAAGATGAAATCTCTTTGTTCCAACAGACTATTAGTAAATATCAAAATAAGATTCTTCAATTACAAGATAGTTTAAAAAGATGAGTCCTAGAGATACTCTTGAAAGACCCATTTCTAAAGACATTGCTTCCACACATAAAAATTATTCTTATAAAATAGAAAGATTTATTGAACTAAAAGATTCTACAACTACAGGGCAAGAAAAGACTTTACATGGATTAGAACAAAAAATTGGTGATTCTGCCAATATTGTTCGAAGTTCTATATACAATTCAGTTGTATAAGAGATTATCGACTTTTCTCAAATTTTAAGCTACTATCACAATGAAAATAGATACTTTGTTAAACATGATCCCCAATACGAATTAACCAAAAATTCAATTTTTTTTTTAAACATAATCACACTACAATTTTCTTTGATTATATAATCCTTGAAAAAGAAGACATTTTTTTTATCCAACTTTACAATTTGGTATAATAGAGACTATATATGTATCTTTTATCAAGAAACTCCGATACTGAGAGATAGATGACTCAATGATTTACTTCTTGATCTGTAAAGAGGAGTCACCTCTATTTCTATTTAAGGCGAATAAAATGTGGCTTTCTATAACAGTTAATCTACCAATTTCTCAATTTTCTAGACAAATATTAATAAACTTTCTAAAACTTTCTACGGAACAACAAAGCAGAGTAGATAAAGTATAATTGTCTAATGGCATAAAATATTAGGGCTTAAAAACAATATATTTGTAATGACATTAGAGTACTTTACTGTTTAACAAATTATTATTATTACTACTACTACTACTAATATTATTTTTTTATTTTTTATTTTTTATTTTTTTAAACTCTCTCAACTTTTTTATTGACCTTCTGAGAAAGGCTTAAAACTATAATTAAAAAAAATTTCATCATGTTTAAAAATGCTTGAACAAACTCTCAAGATTAGGGTACAAAACAGCCAGTCTAACTTAGAGGATTACTTTATCTTTTTAATCATGGAATCCAAAATAAAGAGGCTAAGAGCATTGACTAAAAAATATAACCTTTTATAAATAAATTAATTGCTTACTTCGTGTTTCTTGTGTTAGGCCGTACCAGAAAATAAATAAATAAAGTAAAAGAAAATTACAAGCAAGGAGAAGTATGAAAAGAACTTACTTTATTCAGGAGTCTTTGAATGTATAGAGATGTCTTTGAATTTACAAAGATTGTGAGAGGAAATTTTAAGTACAAAGGTTATAGTGTGCTTTGTTTTGCTTGTTATATGAAGGACTAATGTTTATATCTCTAGTTTTACGTGCTAATTTATGACCATCAACACAAACATGGAATTGGTCAGACCTATCAGTAAATAATATAACATGTAGAAGTTGTGTTGTTCACAATGGGGATATCATTATGATAAACAGTATACAAATCATGAACGAAGAACACAAGTCCACTTAGTGGGTAATTATGTATCAATAAGAGCAAAAGTAACCATAACAATGAATATGCATATTCATAGAAGTTAACGCGGGTATAACTCACCCATTGAAACATCATTTGTTGATAAATGAGCATTACTATTTGATTGATCATTGGATGAACCGTTCTCACGAGGGAGTGAATTTTTCAGATCAAAGCTACCAAGCAAGAAAAATGCAGATTGTAGAGGTACCGGCAAAGTTAAGGAAGAGCTAGAGAGCATAAGAACCACCGATGCCATTGTGGGTCGATTGGTTGAATTCTCTTGAACACAAAGCAAGCCAATGTGCATGCATCGCAAAATATCACGTAACGAACTTAAAGAAGCCTCAACACAGGATCTATTATATTTGCAACTGTTCCTTCATGCCAATTTTTCCAGACCTGTGAGAATTGGAATATATACTTAAATACAATAACGATGTTATTCTTGCTAAAGTCAAATTGAGAAGATCCGTGCTCTCTCTATTTCTAAAATTATTGGTTTTTTGACCGCATATGATTTCAAGAACTAGGACGCCAAAGCTAAAGATATCTGATTTAACAGAGAATTGTCCATGTATTACGTACTCAGGTGCCATATATCCACTGTGATAGTTAGTTTGTAGACATATCATTAGTGTTGAAGTCATTTAAATAACCTTCTAACTATGTTTAATGCAAAAAGATCAAATTTTTAGTTTTGTTGATCACTTAATAAATTCTTATTATGCATAGTATGCGCTTTGTAGAAATAAACTAAAAGATACTTCAAGACTATAAAGTTAACTAAAGTGCTTCCTAGGTTCCTACGATTTTGCTAGTTCTGTGTTGAGTTTCTTTTTGGGACAAATAATCTTGCCATGCCAAAATCTGAAATTTTTGGTTTCATCTCCCCATCTAAAAGAACATTGTTAGCTTTGAGATTGTTAGAATATTTTGAATGATGAATGAAAAGTTAGTTACGTTTTGAATGTTCACTACATCAGTTTCATCAGTTTGAATGCATGTTGAATGCTGTCAGTTTCATCATTTTGAATGCATGTTGAATGCGTATGAAAATATCAGTAACTTCCCATTTGAAATATGTCGGTTTCACCCTATTCATTCATCCATGTTGTAACTTCCCATTTGAAATATGTCGGTTTCACCCTATTCATTCATCCATGTTGTAACTTCCCATTTGAAATATGTCGGTTTCACCCTATTCATTCATCCATGTTGTAACTTCCCATTTGAAATATGTCGGTTTCACCCTATTCATTCATCCATGTTGTAACTTCCCATTTGAAATATGTCGGTTTCACCCTATTCATTCATTCATGTTGTAACTCCCTATTCAATGTATTTATGAGCAAGCTCCTCCTATATTGGTATAAATTTTTGGTTTTTTTTTTCTTTTCTTTGCTAAAGTTCTTTGAGAGATAGACACAGCTAGTTCATAGGTCGGTAACGTTGTGCAGCGTGAACCGTCAACCGATTGTATCCGGGGAATCGAACACCGATTAACTCCTCTTGCACTCCGGTGAGGCGGCGAATTCGATTTAAGGAAACCGTGTAAACACGGGCCTTCGGTTTTGGTTGATTTATTCTGATTCTCCAATTTTTCCCTACAGAGATCACGGTGAATGATCCGGAGCCGAGAATCTTCATGTAGATAAAGAAGCCCCTTAGCAACACCCCCTATGATTATATAACGCTTTCCCCAATCCAAATATGGATGCTTGTTGGGATCTACAAATCCGTTAAGCATATATGACATTTTGAAGACTCAAATGAGGATAATTATGCTATAAATAAATAGCAATGCATACACTTGCAATACAAGAAATATGATTTGCTTAAAATAATCTCAAATTGTTACCGAATATGAAGCGGTCAAGACTCCCATTTTGAACCCATTCGTAAATAAGAAGCCTTTCTCTTCCTTCAACAGGGAAACCCAAGAGCCTAACCAAATTCCTGTGTTGAAGTCTTGTTAATAAGAAGACCTCGTTCTTAAATTCCAAGTCCCCTTGTCCTAGATCCTTGGACAATCTTTTCACTGCGATTTCAATTCCTTTTGGCATTTTCCCTTGATATTAAATCACAAGAAGTAAAAATCATCTAAACTCTCTCTATCGATGAACTTTGATTAGTACATCACCACTCTAAATATATGACATGTTAATATGTATGCCCATCACCGAGTACTTATTCCTATATATTGAATCATTTCACCTAAAAATGACATACCTTGTAAACAACACCAAATCCACCTTGTCCCAACTTGTTAGCATCAGAGACATTTTCCGTTGCAGTTCTTATTGTACTAAAGTCATATTGTAGGGATTCAATAGTACTAGTCTCATTGTCTGCTCGACCAAATTATAGAAAAACAGTTCTGGTGAATTGTAGTTGAAAGATAACATTGAGATTGATGTACATAAAATTAGAAAACTAAACTTACTTTCAATTTTCTCCAATGGCTTATGCGTTTTTTTGGTTCTTGGGATGATGCCAACGCAAAGACCAAGTATTAAACAAACAACAATGGGAACAATAACAATGATGACAGTTCGAGTTGTATTATCCTCCTTTCCTGCAACATTCAAAATAAAAGAACTTTCGATCAATATTCCTTGGCTCCCTGTATGTCAGAAAAGGTTAGTGATGTATATGCGACTACGGGCAAATATTGATGACTTTAAAGACAATTAAAATGTAGTGCAACTAATAAAAAAGTGTAGTATGAATATAATTATAAAATATTAAAAAATGCGGGTTGTAACTAACAAAATTTGTGGTATGAATATAACAATCATTTACTTTAATCAAGTCTCTACAGCCAACTTTACTAGTATGACATTAGCCGAACTAATAGACTTACAAAGTGACTTCATAAAACATAATAATAATAATAATAATAATAATAATAATAATAATAATAATAAAGTACTTCAATAAAAAAATAAAAAATAAAAAATCCTTGCCTCTTCCTTGGACGGGAAAGATCTTGTTGAAATGGTCAGTGATGGGGATTTTTACCTGCTAAGTACGCACCTTCTCCTTAAAATTTCAAAGCATAAATAATGCCAAATTCATTGATTTCCCAAAGAATTTTTCCTCCTGTACATAAGTCGGATTCACAAAACCCAGCCAGATAACTCACAAATGGTGGACCCCCACCTGAATAAAAAATTCCAAAAATTAACGCACCCACCTCCCATTGTGTATGATCTGTAAAATCCTTGAATCTAGATTTACTCACTTGTCTGGTGACCACAAATTTCTAATGACAATTACATAAATGATTATTTAATGAAGATTTAGATGGTTTCTACTATTAGTATTGATTTGCAACTATCATAAAAGGGACTTGCACATTTATAAAGGTTTGGGTTCAACCTACCATTAGGGAAATAGCTTTGGAACAAATAGTACATTTTTTTCCGCTTTATTCAATAAAATATATTCCGGAACAAAAAAAAAAATTAGGATTTACCAAGAGAACGTCCTTACCAGGTGGTGGTGGCGGCGGCGACAGCAACGGCGGCGGCATTGGTGATGCTATTGTCTTGAGTATTTCAACTATAGTCTCATTGTAGAAGTTAAAATCAGTTCCAAAGCGAAGATAGCAACTAGGCCTAAGGATTCCAACTCTAGCCGCGTCATCACAACATTCTCGAATGAGTAAAACAGAATTTTTTAAGCAATCATCACATTCCTTTGGTGTTATATCAGGCGTACACTGCTCAAATGCATAAGTTGTCTCATAATCTCGGTTAACTCGACTAGCTGCAGCAAATTTCTTGGGGGAGCTATTATAGGCAGTCTGGTTTCGAAGACTATCCAACAATATGTTAAGCTCCTGGTAAAACTTGTCTAGATTTGTGAGTTTTTCCTCACTATAACCCCAGTCAAAAGGAGAATACGCTAGAGTTCCGAAGATAGTCTCGTTGGAGTGTTGTACCATGCAAAATTCGTGCCACAAAGTTGCCTGTTTTTTATTCGGACACTTCTTTAAGATTTCAGCTGTAGCATTTTTGACATAATCACGGCATTTATAAGGCTGAAGATCTGCTCTACAGAGCGCAATGACATTGACTCTATCGAAATTTTCTCCGGTTGAAGCATTGTAGAATCCATTGTTGTCAATACTAGGCGAGACAGTGGAGAGGAGGGTATCAAGGTTTGTCTTGTACGTGCTTTTACTTGTGTAATTACCGTTATCTAGACATTTATAATTGAAATGAATTGTTGTTGGGAACTCGGATTTGACAGTAACAACAAGGTTTATCAGACAAAGGGCCCATTTGAGATGAATTTTGAAAAGCCAAAAGGAGCTTTTGAGAGCCAAAAGCCTCTTTTGGACTGTTTGGCTATTTTTGTTTAAAGTGCTTTTGGAGGTTAGAAGAGTTTTTAGAGGAAGCTGATTTTTTTGGCTTCCTCCAAAAGCACTTCCGAAATGGGAAGTGATTTTAAATATTAATTTTCAAACAAAAATTAAAATAGCTTTCTCCGAAAGCTCTTCTACAAAAAGCAAAAGCCAAAGTAAAAGCCGTGCCAAACGAGCCCAAATTGGGATCATGAAATTAGGAAGCCATTTCTGAGAACTCAATAAACCTATTTGATTTGGAAAAAAAAAATCTCACTTGGTGTAAAATTTTACAGATCACACACAATGGGGGGTGGGTGCGTTAATTTTTGGAATTTTTTATTCAAATGGGGCCCACCATTTGTGAGTTATCTGACTGGGTTTTGTGAATCCTACTTATGTACAGAAGGAGAAATTCTTTGGGAAATCAATGAATTTGGCATTATTTATTCTTTGAAATTTTAAGGAGAAGGTGCGTACTTAGTAGGTAAAAATCCCCATCACTGACCATTTCAACAAGATCTTTCCCGTCCAAGGAAGAGGTAAGGATTTTTTATTTTTTATTTTTTTTATGCGCTTAATAAGTGTAGTTTAAAAAAAAAAAAAAAAAAAAGGGAAAAAATCATGATTGTGAGAACGAGTAACTTAAAAGTAAATTTGATTTATTTTAACACAGCCAAACATGTTTTATTCTATCGCTTATATCTATTTTACAGAGTTAATTGATTCGATTTTTACAGCTTAATTGTAATTAAGTTAACTTTTCGCAACATTTTACAACAAACAGGAACCTAGTTATCTCCTTGTCATAAACAAGTTTGGACAGTGAAAAGAGGAACAGCCTAGCTGTCTACAAAGTGCCCAATTATGCTACACTACCACAAAATTTGACACATTGATTGACACAATACACTCACAAGAGAGGTCGGCATTATTTTATTTGTGTGGGACCCACACCTCGGCTGTGAGTGTGGTGTCATCCTTTGTGTTAACCATTATGTTTGTTTGGCATTTTCCTAATTGCGGTGACGTTGAATTCAAATAACTCTTTGGAGACCTATGTATCGAGATCTTCATGAAAAATCGGTGAACCATTGTAAATTTAATCATTCAAATTCTCTCCTTTATTAAGACTCAATTAAATGTGGTCTATGGTTTGATTAGCTCATCTCTTTCATTTGGCCATCAATTAGATTTCAAAATCAACTCTCCTTTTCTCAAACTCAATACTCCCTCACATTATTTAATTAAGCCGTGTATTATTTTATTCATGTATCGATAATAGGTCCATGCATTTAATACCCATCTCAGTTAAATAATGATAAGAGAGTACTTAAGTTTAGTACTAAAAAAATTTCCCCGTCGATAAATTGTTTTCTGTGTAACATGTCATATCATTTCCTAATTGTTCAGTCTTGACTCCAATTAACCATCTGAAGCTTTTTCAATATCTTGATGGAATCACCGTATAACACGCTAGTGTCAATCTTGAAATTATATTGCTTTTTTTATAATCAGCCATATCGAATTGTTCGTTTTGACATTTTAGACTCAATCTTTTAAGGTTCCATCTAGTAATTCAAATCCTTGTAGGTTTGTCATCTTTTCATGTTTAAATCATGAAGAATTTTACCCTTATAACCTGTTTGGGAGTGATTTTTTTTATCGTTATTTTACTATTATAGCCGTCATATTTGACTTCTTCTCTCACAGGTGGACCTCACTTTTTTCCTGACGGTCAAAAAATCAATTCTCAAAATCACTCCCAAACAGACTCTTAATTATAAGACATATCGAGAACTAAAAAATATTCATGAAATGTCTAGAGCTTAATTACCTCAAGGTTTGATGCCTACCAAAATTAAGGAATTTAGATTGGCTAAAAACACTATTCCCCCTTTTTTTTTTAAATAAATTTTAGTAATAGTAATTTTTTGGAGAATGTATAGTTAAAAAGTAATAAAACTTTAGGTTTATGTTAAAATTATTTTATTAAAAGAATATGTACAAAGAAAAATAGAGCTTAAATTGAGGCTTAATTTTCCGTGATTGACTGACTTGGATAATTCAAACTTTCACACCACCTTTATGGATTGAAGTTGAGAGCTATGGTTGAGACGGAAGTGCAAATGGACAAGTGCGAAACATGGGAGGTATTTTCCAATCATTGACCATTCCAATTCTTTTATTTTTATTTTTATTTTTGAGTTAGTTTGCGTTTATTATTAAGTAGAACTGATATAATACGTCAATGAGATGAGTTTAAACCTCTTTATTCATTCATCATTAATTTTAATGGAAATAATTTATTTATTCATGCGTAAAAATGTTTACAGTTAAGAGTCTATTTGCTTTTTGGAATAATATTTTAATGGAGAATTTATAGTTAAAAAATAAGGACAAGTTTTAGAGCTGGGCGTAATATTATTTATTGAAAAAATATTTTCAAAGCATACCAAATATTGTTACTTAAGAAATACTAATTCTCCGCTAAATGAAAAATTGAAGCACTACCTCTAATTGCTTAACTTAAGTGAAAATGGCTTGGAGGCAAGAACTATATATAGCAATAAGAGACCCACCAATATTTAAATGCTTATTTAGGTTACAATCATAAAAAATCATATTCTAAACATTTGACATATCTTAGTCTAATAGAAGGAATATCTGCAAAGATATTCTCACTCTTTTGCCTTGGGGGCTTCTATTCATTCGAGTTAGGCTTCATTAGTTTCGAAAAATGTTTAAATTCAATAATGTTTGGAAAGTTCATTTTCTAGAACACATTAGCGAAGTTTGTAGGTCATTCACTATGTGCCTTTCTACGTTAACACTTTTAAGAAATTTTAAACTGTCCAAAAATAGAAGAATGACGTTTAAGTAAATTTTGCATCAAATTATCTCGAGAGTTAGGCTTGATTAGTTTCGAAAAATGTTTAAATTCAATAATGTTTGGAAAGTTCGTTTTCTAGAACTCATTAATGAAGTTTGTAGGTCCTTCACTATGTGCCTTTCTACATTAACACTTTTAAGAAATTTTAAACTGTCCAAAAATAAAAGAATGATGTTTAAGTAAATTTTATATCAAGTTATCTCGAGAGAAAGTCAACATAAGGAATATTGGTTATCCACATAAATCAAGTGTAAACAGGTAATTGAAGATTAAATAAGGTTACCAATGGTAGATTCGGGATCCAAATGCCTCTTGTGATTCAATTAAATTCCAAGTTTGTTTACTTATTTTAATTGCTTATTTAAATTTCAATAATTAATAGTGCATATTTCATTAGTGCTGGTCATTAACTAGACTTATTAAGTAGATAATTAGTATTCGTGAGAGGATACATCAGTTTATTACATATTACTATCTGTCTACTTGTTGAATAAACTCACCTTTTAGGAGACTTCATATTCATATACACTTTCTTTATCCCTTAGTTCATATGTCTATTAACCCCCAGTTTTCCCTATTCAGCTTTCTCGCGTCTGGGGTACTGAAACTAGACCTTAATGTTAGGGTGTGATAAACGTTAGAGGTTAACGGGACATGAACTTTTGGGATTTTTTTTTATTTTATTTTTTTTAACCGTGAGTGTCCAGACCAGCTTACGCGCAACTCAACTAATTGCACGGGACTCTGAAATTTACTGTTGGATACTCACCTCAATGGCTCTGAGAGAACTTGAACTGGTGACCATTGGGGAACAAACCCAAGGCCTTGAGCTACCCGTCAGAGTTAAAAACTTTTGGATGTGTGATATCTCTCTATCGATCTCATTCTTTCTATTTTTTTATTTTTAATTTTTTAATTTTAGTTTTGTTGGGCTGTGATGACCAATGACCTTTTCTTTTTCTGGGCTGTGATGACAAATGGGCTAAAAGCCCAATAACTGTTTTTTA